CCCGCCGCCGCCTCGCGCTCCCGCCGCCGTTGCGTGCGGCGCGCGCTGCCCCGCGGCACCGGCGAACGGTGAGATGGCGGCGGGGGGCTCCGGCGGCCGGGAGCGTCCTCGCCCCGCCGGGGCAGCGGCGCGGGGAGAACCGGGGCGCCGAGTCCCCCGCGCGGCTGGGGAAGGGGCCGACCGGGACGCGGGGGGGCGGCCGGGGAGAGGCGGCGGTGCCCGCTCGGTGCTGGGGTCGGGGCGGCGGAGCGCGGGGCGCACATCACTGACGGGGCTGCCGCGGCTTCCCTGGCCGGGCGGCGGGAGCGGGGCGGCTGCCGCCCCTCACCCCCTCCCGGGGGAATCCCGGCCGGGGCAAGGGCGGGCGGCCCGCGGCCTCCGCGGCGCCGCGGTTCCCTCCGGCGGGAGCCGGCGCGGTGCCGGCGCCGCCGGGGCGGGGGGTCCGAGCGCGGCTCCGAGCGGCCCCTGTCAGCAGCACCGCGGACCCGCATCGGGTCCGGCCGGGCAGCGGCCGCGCCGTCCCGGAGCTGTCGGTGCCCGGGCTGCCGTGCCCTCCGCCGCCGGGGTCGATGCGGGCGGCAGAGGTCCAGGGTACGGTCTGGGGCCCTTCTGTGCTTGGGGCTCTGCCTGCCCGCTCCGGCTCTGCTCTGAGGCACCTTCTTCCCACTGAGCTGCTTGAACATACCGTGAGCTGCCTCAGTGCCTCTGTCAGGTGATAGGACGTCTTTTCTCCTTCCCTTTAAAGGTCCTAAATTTCAGCATCTTCACCTTCGTCTGTCACCTCGTCCTCTGTATTCTTGTGTTTTACATGCTGTCACGTTTTCTTTTTCTTTTCATGTTCTTTCTTATTTTTTACCCATTTCTTTTCCTTTTCCATCCTAAAACAGTGATAACCTGACTACATCTTGTTCTTGGTTTTCAGTTTGGGAATCAAAATGTAAAGTAACTTCACATCACTCAGAATTTCTTCTGTCACATTCATTTTCTTGGAGTTTTATTTGCTGTCTTTTCTGTGAGAAACCAATGAACTGGGGAAAATATATTCCACAGTACTACAACTGTCCAGGTGTTTGTTTTTTTTTTGCTTTTTTTGTCATACGTAGCCTCTGAATGTGAGTTATTCAGGTTATCAGATTCAGGGAAACTTTGAGTCCATAGTGTCCAGCTCTGTGCTTGGTGTTTTGTCTTTTAGTGCTTTTATGTTTTATTGGTCACTTGAAAAGTAATGCTGCCGAGTCTTGCATTTTGTTCCAAATTTGCCAGTGTCTTATCCATCTGTCATATAATTAACTGGAAAAAGTAATTAATTGGAAAACCTGACTTGTTGAAAGTACTTTAATTAATGTTCTGAAATTCTTTGTGATGATATGTTCCTACAGAAGATACACTGGTCTTACTGTTTGGACACACGAGTTCTCTAACAGAAATGAGATAYATATAGTGTGTCATCAGTAATTTGTCTGCCTATATCTTCCTGTTGATGATGTTAAACAGATGGTAGTATCTGTTTTATCAGGGGGAAGTGTGTCACTTGAAATAACTTGTTAATCCTAGTAAGTGAATCCTAATATCTTCAGCTGCACTTGGAGTGGTCATTAAGCGGCAGAAGGATGTATTTCTGTTACATACATTAGTGCTTGTCATCAGACTTTCTGTTTTCCTGGGGTTAAGAGGCTGAAAGTGTTCTGTGAATAAATCTCTGGGTTATAAATAGCTGTATGCATTTGGCTATTTTTGTAGCTCTGAAGATTTTGGTGATCTTCTTTGACTTGCCTCTTTATTTGTGACTCCATGGAAAGGATAATCCTTTTCTCAGAAGTGTTATTTCTGTTCCAGTAAGGTGTTTATGAATCTATGTACGCACATCACCTTGGCGGACTCCACTGTACWGTATTTGCAAGCAACTTTCATTTTTGAAGGTGAAGGTTGAGAGCAGTGCTTGGAACTTGTGTGTTTAAGATCCCATTCCATGTTTGAAGTGGAATGTTTGTGCAGTTAAACGTTCTGTTGCTATGTTTTACTGCCAATGTATGTTTTTATTCTGGATATAAATATTACAGAGGATAAAACATGAGCCTGAGTCACCTCAAAAATAACTCGGAACCTAGTTGGTTTAATTCAATGCTTGTACTATAATTTTTTTCCTTTTGTGTTGTGTAGAATGTGACATACAAGTAAGTTGTCAGTAATTGTTGGGAACTCCATGGAGCATTTCAAGTATTCTGGTAGTACTGGATTTGTCCCAAAGCAAAGTTAGCTCAGCTTGTCTCAAAAATTGATCCTGGCTGTATCCATAGCTGCCGGGCATTGGTGTGAATTCTGGGAGAAATTAAAGTCCTGTGGGTTTTGAAATAGGAAAGAGAGCGTTGGTGTRTGTTGGAAGGGGACATAGGTGTGTTAAAGAATTCCAGTCAGCCTCATTTGAAGCAGTTGACCAGTCAGTGAGGGGTAGAACGGCTCCTGGGGTTGAACAATGCTGTTCCTGTCACAGCTGGCAGGGGTCACTGGAAAGCAGTGGACATTATTTCTTTCCTAATTCTCCAAAGTTGCATACGCTRTCTTCCCTAGATTTTTCTATATATCGATCTTCTACTTATTTCTAGCAGAAATTTTGTTGAACAAGTTTTTTTCTTTTCTCAGGATGCCAGTGAGTGAGAGTGATGACAGTCAAAAATTGAGTTTTGGGTTTTCCTTTGTCTGTGAGGAAGTTCTTTTCATCATGAACAGTGTTGTTTATGGATTCATCATCAGACACTTTAYGTGGATTTTTAGCGAGCCTTATTAAGGGCACAAAGCTTGTACAATTGCTTTCTTTGTCTGTCTTCTCCCATTTGAGTAATTTCTTACCCAGATGATGAAGCCAAAGTTAATGGCAACTGAAAGACATTAAGTACCTCCACTGTGACACACATTTTTATAAAACTTTTGACAGGTGGTGACCCAAATTAATGTTGCCACCCGAAAAAGGCAGTCATAATTGAGTCCCTTGTCCAAGAAGTGAGCAACTATTGGGCAGTCTACATGCTAAGCTCTGAGCCATCAGCAGTAGCCTGTTGCTACTGGCCCAGCCAAACACTTGGGATAGTTGTTAAGATGGTGGTGGAAACAGGACAAATATGATGGGTAGGGTGGAACAGGACAATAGGGAGCCAGGGGACAGTGGTAAAAGCAGGCAGTGGTAAATTGATTCTGCCCACAGAGCAAGGTAGGTCYGTTTTTTCCTGAAATTTTTTTTGTTTTAATGAAGGAAACAAAACTRTTGGGATACCTGTCAGAGGTACCGCTCCATCTGACTGAGGACAATTGAGCACCACTTACTCAAAGACAGGTGATGATGTGAAAACTAACAGACTTTGAAAGCTTTATCATATTTTCTCCCTTGAGTTTACTGTTCTGTTACTCGTAAAGGTCCTTCTTGATGGGTGCAGAGGAAATGGTTCACTATTTGAAGAAATTATATTCACCTTTTTAAAGAGAACCCAAATAGTTTAAAAAATTGTCCATAGGGGGAAAAAAGAGTTAATAATAATTAGAGCTATAATGTATAGCTGCGTAATGTTTGGGTATGCTCTATATGTAATCATAGAATAATTTAGGAAAGGATCATTGGAAGTCATCAGTCTGGTCCGACCCCATCTCAGTGCAGCTTCAAAGTTAGAGCAAACACGTATACATATATAGAGATAGCCATTATGTTGTCCGGAGATTTGGAAATACTGCTTGTGTTTGTGGTGGATTTTTTTTTTTTTTTAGTTGAAGGGGAGGATATTAGGGGGCTGCTAGAACTATTCTCTTATTTCTTAATTTATGCATGTAAAAGGGATTTTTTCCAAATTTGTTTCTGTTGTTAATACACATAATGTTCAGTATTTAATTCTTTGCTCATATGAGGTGGTCTTGGTAGATGTACTCCAAAGAGCTTAGATGGCTTTCTGGATTGAGTCCAAGCATTGGACTCCTATTTGCAAATAATTTGTGGTTCTGCTCTTAAAAATAAAACGCAGCAAAGTGGGAGAAGAAGTTAAAGCAATATCACATCAAATGTGAAATCGTGCAAGCCTTGTGTTTTGGAAGTTGGCCAACGCCAGATGCTTTTGGGGTTTAGGTGGTTGGCAGATGCTGGCTTGGCAGCTAAACACTCTTCGTGTTGATCTGTCTAAGGGACAGTTTGTTCTGTGTGTGGCTCGTACTCTCCTTGGGATTGGCTTCTGGCCGTAGTGGGGTCGGGTTCAGGGGAGTGTTTGGATGGCCGAGTACAGCTCAGTGATCTCTTTGGATGTTTTCTTACATTCTGGGTTATGAAGCTTGAGATTCCCTCAGCTGTGCGTTTATTTTTTTTCCATTATTATTATTGTTATTGTGTGTTTAAATAGCTGCTTTCTTTTCGAATGGGAGTAAAATCTTGGCTTCAGTGACTTCCTGTGGTATGAGTTTAACAGTCTAATTATGTGTTGTAATATAATATTTCTCTGTTAAAAATTTGGCTTTGCTATCCTCTCAGCTCAGTTAATGAATGAAGTTGCCTG